TGGAAATATGCTGATTTCTTGGTTTTCAAAGAAACAAAATTGTGTTGCATTATCTACCACTGAAGCAGAATATATTTCAGCTGGTAGTTGTTGTGCATAAGTTTTATGAATGAAACAATAACTTTTTGATTATGGAATTGAAGTAGGTACTATTCCTATCAAGTGTGACAATACTAGTGCTATTTGTCTCACTAAAAATCCCATCCAACACTCTAGAACTAAACACATTGAAATTAGACGTCACTTCATTAGAGTCCATGTCACTAAGGAAGATGTAGTTCTAGAATTTGTTGATACTTTGCATCAATTAGCGGATATTTTTACAAAACCCTTAGATAAGGAAAGGTTTTGGACACTTAGGAGAGAATTAGGTTTAACTGACCTATCTTCACTTAGTGTTTAAAATAATTCAACACTTTTAATAAATACTGAAAAATGCTCATAATAGTAATTTTTGATTGCATTCATTGCTATTAGTTAGGGGGAGTTTATGATTCTTGATGAAAACTTAATTTTATGTTCAAATATCGATTAAAGATTAATTTAATTATTTGAACATGATTATTTTTCAATATATGAGTTGCTTATACCACTAGAGAAGATTAATTTAGCATTTTGTGTGCTTAAAAATCAGATTTTAGCATTTTGGTGCAGAGGGAATCGATCCTCCCATGAGGGAACCTATTCCCCCCCACAGGGGAATCGATACCCCCTGGGGTTCTGTTAAAATCGGGCAGAACACCCCAAAACCCCAAAACCCTCTTATTTTTCTTCTTACCGATGTTCCCTCTCAACTCTTTCCCTATCTCCATTCTTGCCTCAAATCAACGATATTAATCCGAATTCGAATCAAATATCATCTTCTAAACCTGTTGGAATCATTAAAATCGTGCAAACATATCTAAATCCCCTCAATCTTCATCTTCAAGGTAATTTTTCTAAACTCTCTATTTCATTGATTTGAACATAGGATTAGTTTAATTAGTTCTAGGTTGAAATAGTGATCTGGAATTGATTGTTAATGATTAGAAACTAGATGTTAAACTAATTCATCAAAAACACAAGAATTTTACAAAATTTTAAAATTTTCGAAAAAAAAAAATGTTAATTTCAAATTATTGTGTTTGATTAAATTGTTGTTATGAAACTATATATATATATATATATATATATATTATATATATATATATATATATATATATATATATATATATTGTTTCTCAAAACCATATTTGTCAAAAGTTTTTCAAAAACTTTGCCTAATAGGATTGATTTAGCGAACCTTGAAATATTGAGTACTCAATTGAGTTTTGGGATTAATTGAATTGCATACATTTGTTTTTAAAATTGTAGGTTATCCAATCTATTCTGATTTCCTTTACCTTGTCCAATCCTAAACGTGCTAAGTCTTCATCTAGTCGTTCTAGTCGTCAACCAAATTCACCTCCAAATCCACCTCCTATTCCAAATCTTGATCCTAACTTGACTATCCAAAATTCTTGTTTCAATCAACCGGGTCTTAAAGATTATCGTTTTTGGTTTTACCAATATTTTGACTCGTATAAGATTAGGGAAGAACGTATCCCATCTTCAAGCTATGGTTGCTATTAACTTTAAATATCTCCCTATCTTGCACGAATGGAAATTTGATAAACTTTTCGAACTTGAACCCGTTGTCTATCATCAACTTGTTCGTATCTTCTATTATAATGTCGTTTGTATCAAAAATCGTGACAAAACCAAAACCATAGGAGTACGTTCCTACCTCCTAGGTCAATATTTCCATCTTGATCCGGCTTACATAGCCAATGCCTTAGGCTTGGATAATGAAGGTTTATCAAATGAAAAACAAGTTTTAGGCTCTCGATATAAACGAAATGATAGTGCAAGTGTTCTAGATCTTCATGAGCGTTTTCTTCATCTCATGATCACTTGGTGGTTTCGACCATCCGGGGGTCGATATTCTACTCTTAGAGCTTTAGATCTTAGGTGGTTGCATTGTTTTGAACACAATATAAAAATAAACCTTTCCGAGATTATCTTTGCTGAGATTGTTGAAACCGTTAACCTAGTGCCAAATAAGAAACTCTGTTCTTCACTAGTTTACGGTTGTATCCTTAGTAATCTCTTTTCTAAAGCTGAGCTTAGAGTTAGTCTAGATGCCTCCTTTCCTCTTAAGAAACAAATCAATCTTCTTTCTTTAACAAGAGCGGGATGGGTCAAAGATAAAAAAACCGGTGAATGGGTTCGATCTTCTGCAACTACTCCGGGAGCTAGTTCTTCACAAGCTCCACTCAAAGCTGACGAAGATCCAGAGTTTGAAAAATTAATTAGGGATATCGATGAAGCCGAAGATGAGCCTGAGCAACCCGAGGAGCACACACAACAATCGACTCAAATGCCTCCATATTTTTAATCCTTTATGGAGACATTTGATTTCCAATATGCGACCATGGATTCGCGCTTTACTTCTATAGAGTCCCATTTATCCACAATGGGAGCTTAACAATTAGAGATTCTCCGAGAGATGCGCACAAACAACGCTTCAATGAATGAACGTATTGATGCACTCTCACACGAGATGGCCGCTATGCGAGCTCGTTTTCCTCCTCCCGATCCTCCTACGGATATTTGATTCTATATTTTGCTTTGAACTCCAAACTTATTATTTTAACATTTTGAATATTTTGGAATGTTTGAATTTGTGGATTGTGAATTTGTTTGGATTTATGGATGGTGTGAACTTATATGTTTGGTGTGATTTATTCATTATTGCATCATTTACATCATCATTATTAGCAATATGACCAATTTTGCCATATCACATTGTTTATGAATATTGATTATGTAACTAATGGCTAACGTTTCTCTTGATTGTGATCTTAGCAGCTTATGCATACATATACCTAATCAATTGGCTAAATGATTTTCACGTTTCTTTGAATCTTTTTGATTTAACAAAAAGGGGGAGAAGTGTGTGTTTTTAAAATGATAAATGGGAGAAGTGTTAAAGTAAGGGGGAGTAATTTCAAAACTTGATTTCAAAATCTTAAAATTACTAAAATGTTTTGTTATATCAAAAAGGGGGAGATTGTTGAAAACATTTTGATATTTCGATATAACAAATTAAGTTAAATGAATTTTAAGATTTTCCAAATGATTTTCTAAGTATATTCGATATAATTATTCGAATATCAAAACATTACTCCAAATATTTCAAAATCATTTTTAATCCTTACTTAAGTGTAAAATTAAGTTTAATCTTAAAACAATTTCAAATAATCTTTCAAAGTATTTCGAACCATTTCAAAGCCAAAAATTCCAGATTGCTCAGAGGGAACCGATTCCCCCCCAAGGGGTACCGATTCCCCTGAATGGTTTGGCTCCGAGATTTCCAGAATGCTCGGAGGGAACCGATTCCCCCATAGGGGTACCGATTCCCCCCTATTCAACGGTCGAAATATTTGAATTTTACACTTAGGGAACCGATTCCCTATGAGGGGGAACGATTCCCCCCACGCTCCAAGCTGTTTTATTAATTTTTTCACACTAAAACGGCTATATGATCTTCACTAATCATCCCCAACGTTCATAAGTGATTCAAGGTGTATTTAAACAAGTTCTGAAGCCCTTGATCAACAAGAAATTATAGAGAAACAAGAGAGAAAGCATCAAACACCAAGTTTGTGCAAATCAAGCCAATTTTCCTTTCAATATTCATCTTGCTTTCAAAGAACACCATTTGTGCTCATTTGTAATTATTTGTGAGTGTTCTTTTCTTGTTCTAGAATTGTGCAAACATCTTACCTTGTGAGGTTTTCCTTGTAAGTTTGCAAATTTGTAATCTTCTCTTTGAGAAAGAGTGTTCTCAAGAATTGGGGTATATTCTTGAGGGTGTTGTAAAGTTATCTCTTTGGCCTCAAAAGAAAGAACAAATTAGTGAATTGTTGGAAAATCCTTAGTGTGGATAGCTAAGGTAGTGGACGTAGACTTTGATTGAGAAAGTCGAATCACTCTAAATCGTTGTGCAACTACTTTCAATTTTCTGCAAAAGCTTCCACCAAATTTTTAATTGCCAATTCACCCCCCTCTTGGCCAATTCCGTCAATCGATTAACTCAACAATTGTCTTCTTTGAAATTCTCCAAGTTTACTCTCGGCATTGTTGCGCCACAGTTTACTGGTTAGTTAATGATTTTTTTTGGCATTGCAAATAAATTATGGCATTATTTTCTAGGGAATGTACTAAAAATAAAATTCAGTTTGAATTTGGAACATAATTGTTCTAGTCCTAGATGATAGTATAGGGGAATAATGTATATAGCTATCTGTTATCCATGGACCATGAAGTTCAATTTTTTTAATCTTCATAAATACTGTGTACATCTTTTTCTTAATCCAAAAACACTTATATTTTTCTTTATTAAAATGAGACTTTTCCAGGCGAGTTTTGGAGTGAAAGATAGTAAAAATTGGTTAGAAGTTTTGGTAACCTTATGAAGTATGTCAATCTTTAGGAGTAAGAATTGTTGAAGATGGAGGGGATAGTGTTACAATAGAGTTAGAAATGCAGTGGGACGTAAATTCAAATATAGTACTAGCTATCAAGACCTATCTTGGTGTATCACTACCTGTACAGGTATCATCTTTATGAGTTTTCTTATTTCTGATGGTTTCTTGCTTGTGTTCCCCATTTAATTTTTTCTCAGGCGATGTATTAATGCTTTATGCTTCTAGTTTTAGAGAATTAATTATAACAAATTTTATTTAAATTTTAAATTATTGTAATCAATTATAATATTCTTGAGATTAGTTGTAATTCCCTAACTCTAGGCTAGTCTCCTATTTATGTACTTTGTAATTAGTTGTAATCCCCTAACTTTAGGATAGTTTCCTATTTCTATGTGCCCCATCTTGTGTATATATATTCACTCTTAATCAATAGAAAACTTAAGCCATTGTTTATCAATACTCTTCTCTCTATTTCAACATATTATCAGAGCCTAATCTTCTAGAGCATATTTTCCTCTCTTTTTTCCTTAAAAAACACCACGATCCTTCATATACATATATCTAAAACTACGCCACTAGTCTCTTCAGTGGCTTCCCATACGACTTCCTCTTCCACCAACGACCCTATTACTATCCAAAACTCTCAAGATCCTCTACATCCTCTCCTTACAATAAATCTCTCCAATATCACCAAATTGTCATCTACCAATTATCTCACATGGAGCCTTCAAATCCAATCTCTTCTTAAAGGTTATGATCTTCATCACTTTATTGATGGCACTCAAACTCCACCACAACCTACTGTCACCGTCAATGGTGTTACATCTCCAAATCTGGAATACATAACCTGGAAGCGTCAAGATCGTCACCTTTTTAGCGCTCTCATTGGTGCCATCTCCGTTTTACTACAACCGCTTATTGCCCGCACCACCACTTCCCTTGATGCATGGCAAACCTTTGCTAATACCTACGCCAAACCATCTCGTGGTCATATTAAACAATTTAAGGAACAATTAAAGTGGTGTATCAAGGGCTCAAAATCAATTAGTGAATACATGCAGGCGATAAAGACTCGTACTGATGAACTTGCTCTTCTAGGGAAACCAATTGATGATAAGGATCTTATTGATCGGTTCTAAAAGGACTAAGTGATGAGTATAAATTTGTCATTGATGCCATTAATACCCGTGACACACCAATTTCTTTTGTTGAACTTAATGAGAAACTTCTCAACAAAGAAGCATCTCTTCAGACCGCTCAACCACCTTCCCTATCACTACCAGCCACGGCAAATCCCACGGCCTTTCGGAATCATCCAAATTGGCGTCCATCAGCCACCAATTCACAACAATCAGGCCCTACCACTATACTTTCTTCTCATGATCAATGCTAACCCAAACTTTATTTGGGTCGTTGTCAAGCATGCAACACTCAATGACACATTGCCAAACGATGCCCGATGTTTCGGCTTGTCACTAATCAACAATCACCAACATCTCGTCCTTAAGGCTCTCAGGGGTATCACCCCTCCACACCCTAGCAACCACGAGCCAATCATGTTATTCTGGGAAACAACACTACACCTACTTGGCTGATGGATAGTGGAGCATCTCACCACGTTACATCTGACTTGAGCAATCTCTCTCTTCATAGCTCGTACCAAAGATCTGATGATGTCATGATTGGTGATGGATCGTCCCTTCACATAACCCATACTGGTTCTACCACCATACCTACTTCCTCTTTCACCTTTACTTTACAAAATGTTCTTTGTGTCCCTTCTATGAAAAAGAACTTAATTTCGATTTATCAATTTTGCACTCATAACCATGTTTCTGTTGAATTCTCACCCTCTATTTTTTAGGTGAAGGATCTAAACACGGGGACAATCCTTTTGATGGGTGAACCTAAGGATGGCGTATATGAGTGGCCGACTACATCCCCTTCAGTTTCCTCTCCACCATTGCTTGCATTTTCCAGTGTCAAGACCACTTCGTCCGAGTGGCACTCTAGACTAGGTCATCCATCATTTACTATTATGAAAAATATTGTTTCCAAATTTCCTTTACCATTGTCTAGTCCGTTATCATCCTTCACACATTGCAATGCCTATTCATGCAATAAAAGTCATAAAATTCTATTTTCTTCTTCTACTTTAACCCCATCTCACCCGCTTGAACTTATCTTTTCTGATGTTTGGACCTCTCCTGTTTATTCTGTTTGATGGTTTTCAATACTATATTATTTTTGTTGATCATTATACACGATATATTTGGTATTATCCCCTTAAACGAAAATCTCATGTGTATGATGTCTTTGTACGTTTCAAGGCATTAGTCAAAAACCAATTTAAATATCGAATTGTTACCTTCTATTCAGATAATGGTGGTGAATATCAAGCCCTTGATCTTTTCCTCTCCACCAATGGTATATCACATCTTACTACACCACCCCATACACCATAACATAATGGTTTTTCTGAACGACGTCATCGACATATTGTTGAAACTGGTTTATCTCTCCTCACTCATGCATCAATGCCTTTAACTTATTGGACTTACTCCTTTGCCACTGCTTTATATCTCATCAACCGTATGCCCATACCCACATTACATCTTTCATCTCCTTTTGAGAAACTCTTTGAGTCTCAACCCAATTACACTAAACTTCGGGTGTTTGGTTGTTTATGTTATCTGTGGCTTCGTCCTTATTCTCAGCATAAACTTAACTCTTGTTCCACTCCTTGTGTCTTTCTTGGTAACTCTCGTCCCACCTCAGAGATCATTTCCAAATGGCTTCCCCCGGTCCAAATTTTACCAATTTCAAGTGGCTCACTCAATACGCCTTCACAAAGGGATTCCTTATGTCAACATCCGTCACAAAATACCCAAACAGATCACTGCCCTTCCTCATCATTCGACCGTTGATCCCTGTCAATAGACCTTCCTTTACCCGAACACAGCTTGGTTAATCACCAAGAAACCATCGATGACCATTTACCACTAGAACCACACAATTCTGAGACCTCTTCTGCTTCAATCATAGTGCAACCCACCAATCAAAATACCCATCCCATGACCACTAGATCGAAAAACAACATCAACAAACCCCTAACCAAAATGAACCTCACTACTATCATTCCTCAACCATCAGACATTGAGCCTCATACTGTTTCTCAAGCCCTAAAAGATCCTAAATGGAGACAAGATATGAATGATGAGTTTGATGCTCTTGTTCAGAATGGAACTTGGGAGCTTGTTCCATCTACTTCTCTGTAGAATCTTGTTGGATGTAAGTGGGTTTTTTGTATTAAACGGCTTCCTAATGGTTCTATTGACATGTACAAAGCTAGATTAGTTGCCAAAGGCTTTCATCAGCGACCTGGAGTGGATTATCATGACACTTTTAGTCCAGTTATCAAGCCGACAACAATACGACTTGTTCTAAGCCTGACACTCAATAGAGGTTGGCACTTGCGACAATTAGATGTTAATAATGCCTTTCTTCATGGCCATCTTTCCGAAGACGTCTACATGGCCCAACCTCTAGGATTTGTTGATAAAGACAATCCAACACATGTATGCAAACTAAAGAAGACTATATATGGACTCAAGAAGGCCCCACGGGCTTGGTACCTTGAACTTCGCCAATTCCTCATTGAGTCTGGGTTCACAAACTCTCATGCAGACACTTCCCTATTCATTTTTCACTCAGGTGACACTACTATATATCTACTTGTTTATGTGGATGACATTATTATCACAGACACCAACACCAATATTATTCAGCGCTACATTGACCTCATGGCACAAAGATTTTCAATCAAGGATCTTGGCACCTTGTCTTATTTTCTTGGCATTGAGGTTCTAACCACTCCATCCGGTCTGCTGCTTACTCAAAGACGCTACATCACTGATCTTCTTTCCCGGACAAAAATGATTCGTGCAAAACCTTTTGCTACACCACTTGTTACAGATGGAAATCTCACACTTCATTCAGGTACAGCTCTAACTAACTGCACAGAATATAGAACAATTGTTGGCAGTCTACAGTTTTTTTGCCTCACTCGCCCAGACATAGCATATGTTGTTAACAAGCTTTCTCAATTCATGCATCGCCCGACGTCTGAACATTGGAATGCTGTAAAACGACTGCTTCCATATCTATGTGGCACATTAACTCATGGATTATTCCTTCACAAGGCAAATCCACTTTCCCTTCATGCCTTCTCAGATGCTGATTGGGGTGGAAACAAAAATGACTATACCTCAACGAGTGCCTATATTATCTATCTTGGTCGTCATCCTATTTCTTGGTCATCCAAGAAACAACGTATAGTTGCTCGATCCTCCACAGAAGCTGAGTATCGATCAGTTGCCGCTACTACTTCTGAACTCAATTGGATTTGTTCCCTTCTCACAGAACTTGGCATCACTCTTCCTACACCGCCTGTTATCTACTGCGACAATGTTGGTGCCACCTATCTCTGTTCTAATCCAGTCTTTCATTCGTGCATGAAACATGTGGCACTTGACTATCACTTTATTCGGGGTCAAGTTCAATCAGGTGCTCTTCGTGTTACTCATGTTTCCTCAGCAGATCAACTTGCCGACGCTCTTACAAAACCGCTTCCACGAAGCCGATTCCAAGACTTAAGGGTCAAGATTGGTGTCTCCTCCGAAGCTCCATCTTGAGGGGACATATTAGAGAATTAATTATAAAAATTTTATTTAAATTTTAAATTATTGTAATCAATTATAATATTCTTGTGATTAGTTGTAATTCCCTAACTCTAGACTAGTCTCCTATTTATGTGCCTTGTAATTAGTTGTAATCCCCTAACTCTAGGCTAGTTTCCTATTTCTATGTGCCCCATCTTGTGTATATATATCCACTCTTAATCAATGGAAAACTTAAGCCATTGTTTCTCAATACTCTTCTCTCTATTTCAACATCTAGAATTTTCATCATTATATGTAGTAAGCTGTCAAATTTCTGGTTTGCCATTGCTAATCCTATTGAATGGTCCTAAAATATGTTCAGTTGATCTGATTAAAAGTATATCTTTAATGAATGGCGGTTCTAAAACTAAGGAATTTCCAGTGGTTATGGATGAGTTCAACCACTGAAAGAAATGAAGACCAAACATATGCAGTATTCTGGGATCTTTTAATATGCTACACTCTAGCTATGGGTTTCTCGAAAACTTCGTGCAGAAGGCTTATAGCTATTACTTTTTTTTTATAGAAGATAGGCCTCATTAAAAACCCCTTTCATATCCGACATATTATATTAGTAACATGAAGGACATATGAAGGAAGAAAAGAGTGCCTCTGAATTTTATTAATCTGAATCATAACATACAACCAATCCCTAACCACTCACTGCTCACAACATAACACTTAAAAACATAACACATAATACAACACTAAAAGCAGAAACCTTTAGCAAAGCAGACTAACACAACACCTCAAGAACCACAACACAACCTCTAGATGTATATTTCATAGTAATATTTGTTGCTTGGAACTATTCCACCCTCCCTTTTGACATCTTGTATACCTATTGTAGTCTCTCTCTCTCTCTCTTTCTATTTTAATGCTTTTGTCTTTGGCAATGGATTTAATCTTATATAACAGCATCCTGTTTCAAGTTGTTAAGCTTTTTCATCCTCAATACGAGCTCTAACTGTTTAATTCCTTTTTTCATCTGACTTAGGTGAAAGATATCGGATTCACTGGAGTTTTCAGGTTGATATTTAAACCCCTAGTGAATGAGTTTCCTTGCTTTGGAGCTGTTTGTTATTCTCTGAGGAAAAAGGTGTGTTATTTGCATCTGATATTTCCAGTTAATCAATGTTGAGCACACGTTTTTACCCTGGAGAAAAAGCTTAAATTGTAGACATAGAAAAAATGTGATTGAGATGCATATAACATTTCCCTGACTGCACACTTTTGGAAACCAAAGAAAGTGCAATCTGATGCTTGGAGGAATTTTCCTAATGGTATGCTGTTCATTAAATTGATTAAGGTCAAAACGCTGAGCAACTCAATTGTATTCATGCAGATATAAGCAGGTGTTAATTGCATTAGTTCCCATTTAATAGAGGAGTAATTGAAGGTCATTCTTGTTTCATGTGTCTTTTGCCTTTTATTTTGGTGCTGATTTGATTGTTAAAAATGAATCGTAGCACTGCCGTATATGAAATATTGGTAAAAACTGATGCAAAAAATAACTTAAGTTGAAGTGATTGTTTATGATATTCTAATGGAGCTAATTTTCGATTAGCTACACCACTGAACTGAAGGCGTACAATTGTGCTCTTGTATGCTCAGGTTCATTACACACACTGCATGCTGGAATCACTTGTATTCACACAATTGATATAAGTAGGTGAATTGTGCATTTTTGTGCCTTGCAGAAAAAGTTGGATTTCACCCTGAGTCATTGGTGGTGACATGTCATCTGTTCCTGGACTTGCTGATGCTATTGAGGTTTGCATGATTTTTTACGCTGGATTGCCATATTACGTCAATACATGAATTTTGTACTGTATCAGTCTACTTTGAATTATTAATATGGTCTTAGTTTTTGCATTATTGTATTTTTTTCCCAACACCTCAAGTTTGACACATATTTGGACATGGCTATGGGATATGATCCTCCAAATATGTGGAAAACTTAGAAAAATTGAGCACCTATACTGTGCACATACAATATCAAATATGGACCCCCCAAGTCCAGGTAACATAATTTGGTGGACAAGTTTTGAGAATATGCAACCATGATAACCAATATGTTTTAAACTCAAGGATTTCACTGCTGGTAATTTTATTGCTGCAGTTACTGTCAGAGTTTCTATATGTTTTGACCCTGATAGAATTCTTCCAAACTGATGCATATGATTTTTTTATATGGTGGTCCATCAGAAAGTTGTTGGCTGTGTTTCTTTTGGAATGACTTCGGGTTAGTTTGCAAACATAATTTCAGTTTGATTGTTCTTGTACAAGGTCTAGAAGTTAGAAATAAAAATGTTCCAGTGGTTTAATTGATTCATGTATTATACAACCCAAATGAAAGTGTGTTATGTTACGTATACCTTGTAAGTATTAGAGTTTTATTCTAACTCTAACTCTAGCCCTAATAGTAGATAGAGATATTTTTAACTTAGCTAGAACTCTTACCTTAGCTAGGACTCTACTCTTATATAAAACCCTGCTGTAACCATCAAAGCAAAAATATGTGAATAAAAATTTATTCTTTCTTCTCCAGTAAATCAACTTTCTACATGGTATCAGTTTAGGTAGATCTTGCCTTGACCTCTCCCTGCCACGATGATTTTTATCGGCTCTACCGAGGAGAAGTCTTCCAAAAAGCGGTCAACGAGCGACCATCAGGGCCATTCTACTGCTGTAGATGTGGCACCCATTGGTTCATGTTTCCCATCTCGTTTTGAGTACGTAGAAAATATCCAATCTAATGAGTCCAATCACAGTGGGCCCACAAGTCCTTAATCATGTTACTCTACCAAAATCATCAAGCTTCTTTGCCGAATTTGGAATGGATAGTGTTTTTCAGAAGAAATCAGGCTCAAATTCCTCAAAAGTGCAAATTGAGGAAACCAATGAAGCTAGGAAGAAGTTCTCAAACGCGAAATCTATTTCATCTGCCCAATTTTTTGGTGATTTTACACGACAACAGCCGGAGGAGAACAAAAAGTTCTTGGGACAGGTTAATATGTCTGTCGAACCAAAACACGCATGTAGTGTGCATGAAGGTAGTTCCGTTTCATCCTCTTCTTCGCCCAATTTAGTTTCATGGATTGTTGATTCTGGCGCTAGTGATCATATGACGGGAGACTTGACACTTTTTTAGAATTTTCGCCACACGGACTCTTCCTCTAATATTTGAACCGTTGATGGTTCGCTTTCGGCTATTGCTGGAAGTGGTTCTATTCAGATCAATCACAATATTGTTTTATCTTCTATTCTTTACGTTTTGAATTTGGCTTGCAATCTCCTTCTGGTTAGTCAATTGTCTACGGATTTGGGTTGCACTACACGTTTTAACTTTGATATTTGTGAATTTAAGGATTTGAGCTCAGAGACGGTGATTGGCAATGCTAGGTTTCGTGGTGGACTATACATTCTTGAAGCCTCTCCTTCAATTGCAAACCACATACACCCTAATCCTTTGTTTCGATATCTCTTACTAATGTCTACGGTGAGATTGTTTTGTGGCATTTTAGGTTAGGTCATCCCAATTTTTTCTATCTTGCTAAGTTGTTTCCCAAACTTTTCCTTAACAAAAATCCAGCATCCTTTTTTTGTGATATTTGTCAATTTGCCAAACAAATACGAAGTACATATCACCCTTCTTCATATCGTTCTTCCAAACCTTTTGTAATTATACATAGTCATATTTGGGGTCACTTTTGTGTCAAAAGCTTAAATAGGGTTCGTTGGTCTATTTCTTTTATTGATGACCATTTTCGTACTACTTGGACATTTCTTATGCCTCATAAATCTGAGGCTGGTGACATTTTTAAGTGATTCCATAAAATGGTTGAGAACCAATTTCAAGGTTCTATTGACATTTTAAGTCTGACAATGGTTCTGAATATTTTTTTCAGGAATTGACATCTTTCTTTCAGGAAAAAGGTATTATCCACCTCTCTTCATGTGTCAATATTCCTCAGCAAAATGGGGTTGTTGAACGAAAAAACCGTCATCTTCTTGAAGTTGCCAGGTCTCTCCTTTTTTCTACCAATGTTCCTAAGTATCTTTGGGGTGAGGCTCTCTTAACTACTACTTATCTCATTAATCGATGCCAAGTAAAGTTCTTAATTTTAAGTGTCCGAGAGATATCCTTACTCAATTTTTCCCTCACTTTAAACATTTGACTGCTAACATTCCTCTCTGTGTCTTTGGTTGTACAATTTTTGCTCACGATCATAACCCTTCTAGGTCTAAATTTGATCCACAAGCCATTAGGTGTGTCTTCATTGGGTACTTTTCGCTTTAAAAGGGTTGTCGGTGTTATTTTCCTTTTATAAAAAAAGTGTATTCTTCAATGGATGTTACCTTCCTTGAAAGCAAACATTTTTTCTCTAAGTCTAAAATCTAGGGGAGCGTGTGAGTGAGTTCGAATTTCAGTCTTTCCCGGTTATTATTGAATTACCAATTACACTATTTCTGTAATACCCAACCCGTACCAGACCCGGATACAAATCTGAGGTGTCATATTGACATTTCAACGCTTTTACTCTTTGAAAATCCGTTTAAAATTTAAAACTTTTACTTTTATTTTAGTGGTGAAACCCTTATACAAAAGTTAATATCAAAAATTAATATTTCACGATGAAAATAAATACTTAATATATTTACATAAACTTTAAATAATATAGTTACAAAATAGATTAGAGCATTTACGATTTAAACCTTTGTAGTACATGCCAACAAAATGTCAAAATAACAAAACCACCTACTGTTCAAATCGGTCTGATCTGATCTTCACCAGAGATATACTTTCCCGACCTAGCTTTACTCTTTGTCTTCTTTGAACCTACATGTGAAAACACTCACACACTAAGTCTTTGACTTAGTGAGGCATAAATGAGCATAATAAAATAATAAATCACTTGATTAAACATTTCGGAGAAAACATTGAATATGGAAACATGATACATTTAATATAAATAGCATATACTATTATGCACTTTCAATCCATATCAAATTTGTGTAATTAGCCCAATGCATATCACTGAGAACTCAAGGTATGTGAGTACTTTTAGGTTGTGCACTGTAATTGCAGTCAAAATTACCGCGTAGAATTTGCATCGAAGTGCCACGTAGAATATGCATCAAATTGCCACATAGATTTGTCCCGAAGGACCCCATAGAATTGTCCTGAAGGACCACATAGAATTGTCCCGAAGGACCGCGTAGAACCTTCGACTCTTGGCATGCCAATTATACCTCTAATTCTCATAACACATACTTTGAGCTTTAACCATATAAGTATTCACATGGCATTCTTCAAATGATCATTCATTCACATAGAACACATATACTCATAGTACCGAAATCAAAATAATGCTTATGAAATACAATTTAAGTAAAACAATAAAATTTACATAAAATAATTCAAACAGTTTTCGATCGAAAACCTTTGAGGTTGTCTCATCGCAAGCCTTCCTCATATAGAATATAAAATAAAATAAATAAATTATACTCACCTTTGCCTTACTTAAGTCTTAAGCAAAATCCTTTTCACTTTCGCTTAATCTCTTTACTACTTTGAGTCGTTCTGTACTTGCTCTTGATCGAAGTCTACATATGAAAATAACAAAAATGAATACTGGATCTCAAATAGTTGTTAACCCATCAGCATTTACATCAACTAAATAAAACCCCTAATTTATAATTTCTGGTTATCGATACTCTATACCCAGTATCGATACTTCCCTTCTATAGTACCGATACCTACC